GATGTCGACCAGATCTGGCTCGCGGTAGAACCAGCCCTTTCTAACACCTCGTGAACAGGATCCGATAAGGAGATCCGCTCGACATGACCAGTGATATGGTCGGTATGAGTCCCACTTACGTTCGAGGGTTCCCCCTGAACGGAGTCGAAGTGTTGGGAGAACTGATGCAGTTGATCAGAACCAAAGCGGTCATCGATCATCATAGCGTCAAAATGATCCTGACCGGAGAATTGCTGGATAGGCTCCGGTTGCTGAACGGTCGGTGCCGGTTCGGATTGAGGAGCAGCAGCGGTGGGTGAATCAACTTTTGGATTCCTCTTCATCTTCTTCTTCCTCTTCCCGATCCCACCGGCAAGGAGCACACGGCTGTCATCCATAGTAGCGTCTGGATTGGGAGCTGAAAAATGACAAAGGGAAATGTTAGTACCGAGTGGCCTTTAGCATGAGAGAAACTAGTAACAAAAAAGGAACGTTTCTCGCACGGGAAGGACCGCCCGGACTATGGCACTTGATTCTCAAAACAAGTAAACCCAAGAGAACGGGCAGTACCTATCCCGACTTAAACCAGCCGATCGGGAGTCAAGTAGGTCATGATATCACAACACTTGTCCTTCTCCACAGCAAGAACGTCCTTATAAATTTCCTCAGTGAGTACTGGGTCGGGAGTCTTGCGGGGAAAAGCGTTCCATTTATGAGGGATCAACCCATCCGGGATAGACACGAAGAAAAATCTATCTTTCCATCCCTTGATCGAGGTCGGATTGCCTTTGAATAAGATGTGGCCCGTTCGGGAACTAGCAGCTAAGTACCCATGGGTTTGTTGAGGGGCTACTTTGAAAAATTGATGAAATAAGTCTAAGGTCGGCGAGGCACCGACATCTTTGCAACGACAGATAAAGCCCGCCATTGCCCGATAGGAGTTCGGCATGACTTGGGCAGGTACAATTTCATAAAAATTAAAAAATGAAATAAAAAAGGGGTGTAACGGAAATCTGAGCCCAACCCTCACTGAATCGAAATGGACCACGGTCATCTCAGGGGCATGACGTAGGGGATGAAGCCCAGCGTGCAATCGGAAGTCCACTGGGTCCGGGATTAGGGCCGGGATTTCGGCCCTATTATTGGCGGTCAATTTCTGCCGTCTTGCCCTAATTAAACCTAAGTCGAGGGAATGACGGGGAACATCTTTTGGCCGTCCAGCCGCCATTAAGGCCATTTCGTCCTCAGATTTTGTGCCATCAGAACTTTCACCGGAGGAAGATGAAGTGCTAGGAAGGTCCTCCGCCTCAGCCCTGGTATTTGTCGCCGTTTCAGTAGAGCCGCCGGCGAATGGGACTGTGATGACATCCACAATAGCAGCGTCACGGTCATCTCCATGGGAGGCCATCTCCGAATCAGAAGAATGCTGTTGAGGACTCATCTCAACCGAATCAGGAATAAGGCGAGGAAGCAAGGGAGGGAGAATACCTGAACGATGGAGGCTGCGAGAAATCTCAGAAATCAACAAGGCGCAGAGAATTGCAGAATCAAAACCCGGATTTGAGAAGTTAAAGGCTAATTTATAGCCTTGAAACCGCCGTATCAAGAACCAATCAGGGAGCGACACGTCACTAGGAGCATTTAAGCTAAACACGTGTCTAATGAAAAGACTAAACGACGGTTACCATGATGAATATGGGGAAATGAAGCGGCAGCCGTCAAATCGCAGCATGGGGAACTGATTACTTCTGTACCCCGATCGCCATTCGGAGTATTACAACATTGATATTCATACTTCCTAATGCACTCACTATCGTTCGAGACATCGGAAGTGGTGGACTTGTGTTGGGATATTGATCCAGAGGCCCAATACCCAGGTCAGGAAGGCCCAAGATACCCGGCCCAAGCAACGGGCCCATCACGCTATGATAAGATAATCAAGGTAGAATTAATACCGAACGAGATTCGGCCCAAATAAGGGTTGGCCCAGTAAGAAGACATACCGAACGGGGTTCGGACTATATATCATACTTGGGCCAATTTGACAGCATCTTCAGCATAGCCCAACATCCCATTCGAGCAACGGCCAACCGGCAAGTGGCCAGGTGCAATTAATGCCAGATTGTGACATCAGCAAGTGGAAACATGGGTGACCAAGTCGGTGAAACAACGGCCAATCAGCATAGGGCATCCCATGCTCTCCATTAGTATAAATAGAAGGTTTTAAGTCATTGTAAGGGTTAGCATTTCAATACTCAGGCTCTAGAATAGCATCATTGCTCTTATTTCTTGTATTAAAGCATTGTTTCCGACCTACCGATCGGGAAATTCCTTGTAATCAGACTGGTTAGTTAATACAAGTGAGCTTTCGAGTATTAGTGAGTTCATATTTTATATTTTGTTTATACACTTTGATTCTGTGTCATTCCTGATATATCCAAAGTTCGTGTTGAGCTTTCGTATCTACGGGATTTACACTCAACAGATAGTATGACATGCAACTGACATTGTTACTCAAAAATTGACACTTTAAATATGTCATTTTTGTTTCGAAAATGTCATGAGAATGACATTATTACTCTTTCGAAAATGCCATAAGATGTCATTCTCTTTTTTGAACTATCATTTATTGATTATTTGAAAAAAAATGTCACTTTTATGTCATTACAGTATTTGGAAATGTCATATTGAGAATGTCATGTTTCTATACATAATTGTCATTATTGTGTCATTATGCATATCAAATGGCATTCTCGCATATCAAGTGTCATTCTCGACGGAGATTACCGGGACTTGTCGGAGAATGGCGGTTTCATCGGAAGATGGTGGTGGCGAACTCAATGAAGGGTGGCGGAGGCGGCGGACTTGATGGAGGATGCAATGTTGCGGTACTGGAGGATTGTTGCCGCACACCTGGAACTTGGAGGATGACAACGCTGGATATTGTTACGACAATTCAGGATGGCTACGAGCACTGGATGCTATTTCTGTCCAAACACAAATATTTACTCCTATTTAGAGAATTTAAAACAATAGGTCCTCTTTTTGCATTAACCTGAACTTTTAATCCCATTTTGGGAATTCACTAGTATGATACCTAAAAAAATATGTGAATGGTATATTTTTATGTGATTAATGGAACACGATAACTTTGTGAGGATTAAAATATAAATGACACAAACTGAACAAATACTCCCTCCGGTCCCAAATGAAATTCACACTTTTTTTTTGTACGTCCAAAATAAACTTCACACTTCTTCTCTCTTCCTTATTTGGCAAATTATCTACATCAAAACAGTGCAAAACAATGCAAAACAGTGTCAAACAGTGTCAAACAGTGTCACAACAGTGTACTCTACAGTAAAGTCAAATTTATTTCCTTAATTTGTGTGAAGTCAAAGTATGAATTTTATTTGGGACCGGAGGGAGTACTCCGTATAAGACAGAGCTTGAACAAGAGTTAAGTTAGAAATGAAGTAGAGCAGTATGATAATTAGTTTTTTAGTATTTTAATGGAGGAAGAGAATTGTAGGAGAAAATAAAAAATATAGATGGAATACGGGACAAATTTATGAAGGAAACGATTAGCTAGATCGACAAAAAGAGAAAGATGCAGATTTTTGTAACCTGAAAATTACGATATTTAGAGGCCTTTTGACAATACTGTTCTTTGGTTTATCAGGTTTATCAGCCAACTTTTTTACCAAACACGTAACTTTTGTTTTCGAGCGCTGAATCGTGTAATAAGAAGAAAAAGTAAGGTTGAGGTTACTTTTGGGTCTGTATTGGCTGGAGTTACTGCAGATGACCATTTTGGCTATTTTTTCATATAATTTTTTCTTTATTTTATTAAGAAAATATATTTTAAAAATATTTTTTTCTTAAAAAAGGAGAATTAGCCAATGCAGTCATTTCATCCAGAACTAAATAAATTTCAGCAAATAAGCAAAATCATCCGATTTTTGTGCTACCAAGTGGTAGGGCTCTTAGCTATACGGGAAGGCCGATTCTACCATATGATTTCGCGATTTGGGAATGTTATTTTTGGTTGGATTTTTAAACAAATATTCCCAACAAAAATAACAATAAGTTAAATGAAAATATTCAAACATAAGAAATACCTTCCCTAGTGGTGTGATTATAAGGTGTTCGCTTTTAATTGCAATATTGGACTTTTTGCATTATTGACATATTCTACTTTGACCATATTTTATTTATTGATGCCTTATAAATTAAATTCGTTAAAAATATTTTTAAATTCCTATCATTTTAAATTTTAAAAGTATGGTTTTTTTAATTTTTTTACTAATAAGGAATGAAAGATTTAATGGTCAAGCTTGTGTGTTGGCAAGCGTGAAAAGTGTACTAATGCAATTAAAAAAGAACAGAGGAAGTAATAATTTTGGAGTTTAAATTTTTGGTTACTTCAGGCCTATTTTAAAATAAAAAGATGTAATAAAATATTTTATCCATTAGATTTTAATTTTAACACTTTGATATACCTCATCTACTCAAAGAAAACTTTGAGCCTAAAAAACTAAATCAAATGAAATTTATATTTTTATACTTTATATATGCAATATTGGTATCATAAGATAACAAAGATCATAAAAAGTTAAAAAAATTGCTACTCCGTATATTTTTTGTAAAATTGGATTACAAATAAAAAATTTATACCACTTTAAAAAAACATTGTACTCCGTAATTCTTAGTGTGTGGAGCCCAAGTCTTGTTCTCTCCCACCCAAAGGTTCTTCAATTCACTATAGCACCCAACTAAGGGAACTGGAGGGAGTATTATTTTTGGCATGGGTTGGAGCTGATTTGGGGTAATCTGGTGACAGTGCTATGTTTTCTGTCAGCTGTTCTTGTGGGCAAGAGCCATATAAATAGGGTTTCGCAATGCATTTGCTATTGATGGTGCTGGGCAGAGCAGGATACTCCAGCACATTTTAGAGTTATTGAGGGAACACCAATAACCTCAGCATTATGAATTCTTTCAAACAGATAACTAAAGAAATATTGGCACTAGAAATTTAGCATTAGATTAGAGTAATAAGCTTATTAATCTTCTCCCATCTTTTCTACAAGTCAATAAAGATAGCAGAAGCTTCAGCAATCAGCTTTACTATTTTGGTAGGCACTTATCACCAAACACAGCCTACAGCAAAATTATACCTTCTAATGGCCATGTAGCATTTCCTCTAGGTCTACCCCCAACTTACGATTAATCGAGTTTGTTCCATTCTGGGGTAACCTGCATTTCTTCTGGAGTTCTACAAATCTCTGTATATCAAAATTCTTCTTCTTTATGAGCTTCCTTCGTCTAGAAATGAAGAGCCTCTTCAGCATGTCCTGGTAAGTGGGGTCCCTTGAAGTGAACAGGAAGTATGCATAGCCTATGACTAAACCAGTTGTAGTAGTGAAAAACGCTATTGGCTCCATAACATCCCAAGAGAATTCCCAGAATGTAAGGCGGAAGAAAAGGCCAACCAGCAAAATACCTGCCCCCAGACCTGTCCAAAGAATGAAGCGAACCTGTCTATGTGCAAGCTTGTCGATTCCATCCATAACTTCCTGTAGTTTATTAAGCTCATCTGTGGATGGATCGCCTTCAGGTAAAAGTGCAATTGGCATTGCCTTCCTAACTAGATCAACAACCTGAAGATGAAGATGTAAGCAAATATTCCATGAATATTATTTATTTTCAGAGTTTGATATAGTCCTTTTAATTTCTTTCAATTTATTGTCACTATTGGTCATTTTGATCACTTGACTGGGTAATTTCAAATTCCGTATTGATTTACACAAGGTAAGTGGCAAGAAAGCATCAAGAGACCATTACTGCGGACAACAGGTCAAAATAATGAAAATTTTGGAAATGATTAAGAAAAACAAAAAGTGTACAATTTTGTTCAATACGGAGTTTTTAAACTTCATTTGACATCTTTTTAAGTTTTTTGTTCTTCACCTTTGTAAAACTGAACAAGCAGTGCAGTACAACTCAGACAAGATGGCTGCCTCCCCTTGGTGCCTGACCATTTTTAGTGAAGGACACTGCACCCTTTTTGAAAAAAAAAAGGATGACACCCCATCCCTGAGGGCCCCAACCTCAACCGAACGGTATGTTGGGAGAATGTAAGTTGGACTATAATCTCAATCTGAATGATAAAGAGTGGGACTCCGTCCCCGGTACTTGCAGAGGCCCTAGCATTTAGCATAGCCTCTCATCGCAGTTGACGGGATTAGAATCCGGGACCTAATCCCTGTGTCACTCTCTCGCTACCCGTTGGACTATGCCCACCGGTCACTGCACACTTTTTGAAAATATTATAGTCACAAGACAAATGAAAATAATTTATTCTTTTTTTACAGAGCCAATGATTACGTAGTGAACCGAGTTAGGAATTTGAGAAAGCATGGTCTTGTCATAGTACACAGGTCACTTCATAAATATTTTTTTAAAGTGTAGAGGCTGGGCACTTGGCGCCCATTTCTGCAACATTGTAAATTGGAATGATGTTTTACAAAATGGTAAACATCAATATCGAGTAATATTGTCTTGCGCAAAAAATGTCAGGAGAACACGAACAAAAATTGTACTCCCTTCGTTCCTAAATAAACTTCCAACTTTCCTTTTTCGTCTGTTTCAATTAAAACTTCCACTTCCCTTTTTGGTAAAGAATTTGTGGTTCACAACATTTCTTACACATTTCTCTCTCCTCTGCACAACTCTCCACCACACAATATCCACTATGTTAAACTTTGTGCCAAACACATTTGGAAGTTAAAATGGGAACGGAGGTAGTAGAGACTACAGAGGATAAAGAACATAAATAACAAAGACAGCCAAATAGTTGAAAGTTAGCAAGGGTTGACTACCCTCTCTACCTTTCTATTAACCTCAGTTATGTGCGTTTACAAAGTCCATGTTTGGCAGGTCAATGCACTTCATTCTAGCGTTTGTACAATTTAAAAAGTTTTTAAAAAGTTCTTAGGTTGTATGTTTGTCACATCACCAATTAGAAGCTATTTTAAAAATTCAAGGTCTTTTTAAAGTAATTCTAAGTAACTTCAGAAAGAAAGAATATCCATTGCTTTTAAAGCACAACTTATTATACAGTCAACTTTTATCTTATTTAACTCAAATATAATATTTTCATCTAAACCTAAAAAAGCTTTAATTTTTTAATGGTTGTGCCAAGTATATACAAATTGTGAATTGTCTCAGGACATTGAAATGCTGGTATTTACGCATCCCCAATGTTCCTTTCCAACCTAATGACTTACACATAATCAGCAATACACAAAACAATGAGACACAAGATCCCACTTCCACAAAACATTGAAAGGGAACTGCAACGAGGGGTTACTATGCTAAAAATGCATAGAGCCTCTGCAAGTACCGGGGACAGAACCACATTCTCTATCTGTAAGATTTGGGATTATAGTCCAATTTAATCCTCCGAACGTACCGTCCGATCGGGGTTGGGAACTCTCAGAGATGGGGTGTCATCCTTTTTTTTATTGAAAGGCCCACCTTACAACAACAGTTCAATTTGTTGATACAGACATTCCTAATCCCCCTATTGCTCTCTCAATTTGTAAATATGATACATTATGAGCAGTAAATCATACCCAACAGGATTCGACTGTAAATAAGAAAGAAGAGAAATGGGGAGAAAGAATAATACCTTATCGGGATGAAGATAAACTTTATCACGGAAGAGTAAGATCACACCGGCTTCGTCCAGGACACGAGAAAACGCCTCCGCCTCTTCTCGAGACTTGGCTACGCCTACAATTTGACACGCATCCAGTAGCTGCGAATAGGCAATCACCTCCTTTTGTTCCAAACCTAGATTACCCTTCAGCGCCTCCACACTCACCAATCTCATCAGCTTTTTCGCCTCCGCTACCGATATTATCTGTTCATTCCCTTCCCCTTTACCCCCATCATCTCCTCCGCCGACTACGGTGGAGCCGCTACAATACTGTGCCCCGCCCAAATTTCTCCCAAAAAAGCAGCCGTGGCCACTGTTACTCTTCCCATCCAATGGCAGGTTCAGCCACTTGCTCTTCTTCGGAGCAGCCGCCCCGCATCGAGCGGCGGCCGTGGCGCTGTGTCTAAGCAAATTAAACGAAGTCCTCCACATTTTGTTTATTGAAGTAGCTTAACGCTGTGTGTCACAGAGAATTAATGGTTCGATGATAGTGGAATGTGTTAGGGCACAAGTCTTGCTGTTTATGCTTCATCATTTTCGCGACGGAGTGGGCAGCGGTTTGCGCGGCAGAGCGGTGGTGGTGGTAAAGGCCCTTCTAGTCTAGGGTAGGAAAGAAAACGTGTGGGGCTGTAATGACGGAAAAAGGGAAAATGTGGGGACGGGAGTTGGGAATTGCGATAATGACGGGTGCTTTGAAAAAGGCCGTTTAACGGTTCACGATCGCCAGTATCATTGCTGCGACATGTTCGGCAAGGACTCGGTTATTTATTGATTTATTCCGGACAGTTTTTGTGACGGTTGAGATTGACGCTCTCTGCCCGCATTTTGCACACGTTAGATGAATAACCTCATTCATACACATATTTTGTACACTTGTAAGTTGTAAACACTCTCCCTCAATTGTTTGTCCATACTCATATTTTGTACACTTGTAAAGACTCTCCCTCAATTATTTTCATGAGAACATCGCTCTTTTATTAAAATAATATCTAATGTTTTTTTCATTCATATTACCTATTTAGTTCTAAATTAGGAAATCTATTTTTAACTTTCCAAATTTGCTCTTCAGGGCTTTGCTCCCAGATTCGCTTATTGAAGCTCAACGCCTCCACCTTCTTCCTTATTCGCTGTCCATTTTCGATTTTGCGGCCGTCGCGACAAACCACCGCCGTTGCCAGACGCCACCGCCATTGGCAGACCTCGTCACCGTCGTGCCTGTGCCGCCAAACATCGTCGCCACCTCGTCGCCATCAAACAGCTTCGCCGCCAAGGCCTCCACCATCACCGCCGGATCTTGTGTCACTGTAACTTCGTCCAGCGACCTAGCTTCGGAGGCGGAGACCTGAAGACGGAGCTGCGTGGATCTGGATTTGCGAAGGACAAACGGGATAGAGTCGGGAGAAGATGGGAGCAATTTTCTTCATTGTTTATTTAATGTCTACTTATTGTCTATTTATTGTATATTTAATGTCTGTTATTTTCTAAAAGTAAGGGTATTGTGGTCAATGCAGATGTATTTGAGTCTTACCCTAATTTTCGGTCTTAGTTTTGGAAAATCCGTACATTTTGCTCCTATTTGTTGAAATCTCCCTATTTTCATTAGGTACCTCAAAAAAATCGGCCTGCAATCACCCGCCCTGACCCGAGACATTTGGGGCGGGTCTGTCTCGCCTCGTCTTGCAAAAAACGGGTGGGTCTGTCCCGCTCCACCTATTACAATGGGCGGGTCCGGGTCTTATTATTGACCTGTGCCGCCCTGCCTCGTCCTGCATCGACTCGTTCAATACCTTTTATGAGTATACAATATATCATAAATTCTTTGGTCTTATAATATATTACTTTGTAATATTTGTATTTGAATGAGATGAACGACGAATTATCAATGTCTTATATATTCAATTATTAATATAAATAGATTAACTATTCAATTCTAAGTACTTTTTCTAATTTTCTAAATTTTTAAGCGTATTGTGACTTTGATTTAATATACTACGTATTATTTTTTAAAATTTATTTAGAGATAAACTTTATATAGATTCAAGTGCTAACAACTTCACACAAATAGAAATGCATGCTAGCTAATTAAGTTATAATTGGGGGCGGGGAGACCCGCAACGCATGGGGCGGATCAGGGGTCAACAAGTTTGAACCTGTGTGGGTCACGGGGCGGAGCGGGTCCACCAAGTGAAGTCACGAGGCGGATCCAGGTCTTGCAGTACCCGCCCCGCCTTGACCCATTGTGATGCCTAATTTTCATAGATGAAGCACAGAATGTCATAATGTAGCGCTGATTATTTTAAAAAATATTCAGCTATATCATGCTTAAGATATAACCGGCCGTAAATACAATATAATTTGTGCACTAGCTTATATTTGAAAAATTATGTAAAAATTATCATAAAATATTCTTTGTATCGATCCATTCTGGAATTTTTATGTCTACATCATTGAATATACTTTGAGTGAGATTGAATTATAATGTTACTTTGAGTTTACTATATTGAAATATAACTAGATTGAATATATTTTTGTATTTTAATTATCAAACATACATAATGAAATATTAATGCAAGATATATTTACTATAATAAAATTGAAATGTGTATATTTTGATTTCTCACGTTGAATTATGTAATAATCAAAACTCATTTAATCTATTTTTGTTTTCTTTTCTGTGTTTGAATTTCTTTAAGAACTATTTTAGCTCTTTTCATATGTATTTTTTAATCTATTAACAAAATATATTTTGAATATATTTTTCACAATTCAACATTTTAAGCGAATCACTTATTTCAACTAGAGTTTCACTAATTTCAACAGATTCATCCAATTCAACTAATTATATTTATTTAAAACAAAATAACAACATGATTCGGATTTATAAATGGAGTTGATGAAATGTTATGTTGTTGTTTTTAAAGATGATTTTACTTGGATTATTTCATTCTCGGATTAGACCAAATTCTGATAGCTGTAAAATACATATAGAGCAGACATTTATCAGATCAGATCAGAAGATTTTACTCCAAGTAAATACGTCCAAAGATGTATTGAATTGAAGTGCTAATTTGAAAAACTGGGTAATTTAGTAAATAACTTGATGAAACACTTGCCTTATGTCAGACCTTTTCTAATTAGAGGTAGGTACGGTTCCGGACCTAGGATCAATCCAAACCGGAACAGGACAATTTTAAACAATATAATCAAAGTTGGTCACGTTCTGAATCAAAACCTAAACCGAGGGAGGTCTCCAACAGCTCTTTTAACTTTTTTTTGATAGTCCAGGTGTCGGTGCTTGCGCTTTCCTAACCCGGAGTCTATTGACTACCCTCCAAAGCCTCTAGACAGTCAAATCTGAATATTATCACAGTCAGCCTTCGTCGATACTGGTACCACAAGACGAATCCAGCAGGACTTTCTTATAACTGAATCCAGAAGGGTCCTCCTACTATGTAGGGCTTCCTTTCAACTGTTACAGGGGATGAGAGAGGCGGGAGTGGGGAGGAGTGGTGGTTTCAAAGAAACTAAAACTCAAGACCGGACCAGAAACAAAATTGGTCGAATCTGAAATCGGCATAGAGCCACAACCATAGGCCCAATTTCATTTCCTATTAATAATCCTTGGGATAGGTACCAGCCCAGAATCAGACCAGTCCAACTGATATGCACTAATTAGTAGTGCATAAATGTATATTTTTATGATTGATTTGTGTGTATTGTTTGCCGTTTTATTTAGTTTGTAAACATTTGTGTGATTTTAGTTGTAATCGTATTTTAATTCTCATTTATAAGTTGTAAAGTATAGTTAGGATTTGTGGTGTTGGAAAGGAAGACTTTGAAGAGAAGAAAACAAGAAATTTGACTGCCCAGGAGTGAAACCCGACCGGGTAGAAACCCCCACCCGGTCGGGTATGATTTAACAGACGAAATTGCCAAGAAAGTCACTAGACCCGGTCGGGTCCCCTACTTGACCCGGTCGGGTCAGATGTGACCCGGGACAAAACGACGTGCGAAGATCACCAGAACGTGGCGGATTATCTGATTTTGACCGGACCCGGTCGGGTAAGTACTTGACCTGGTCGGGTACCCGGTCAAAGGTGTTGAAAAACACCTATAAATAGCACACTTTTTCTTCACAAAAAATCATCCTTTCTTCCATACTCTTTAGCTCAGCTTAGAATAACATTTCTTTATATTTTTCTAGCTATGTTTAGTCTCCAAATGAGGAGCTAAACTTCCATTCTTGGTGTTGCTCTTGAAGCTTGTTGATTATTAATGTTGTGAGTTATTTTCTTAACTTCTTTCCTTGAATATTAATTAATAGTTCTTTCCTTAATACCATCTCTATATTAATGTTGGGTAGTGTTACTAAGATGACAATTAGTTAACATCTCGACGTTAGTTAGAATGATATTTTCTTCCTCTATATTAATATTGGGGAGTGTTGCTAAGATGACAATTAGTTAACATCTTGATATTAATTATAGTAGGATTCATCTTCTTTAATAATATTCTTCCTTGAATATTAATTAATTCCTACTCTTATTTCATATTAATATTTTGAACATTACTTAAAGGATCAACTAGTTTTGTTTCATATATTAATTATTACTAGAAACGATCAACGAACCGATGATTAATCGTTGATGGTTTCACAAGTAAGTAACTTCGGTTTATTAATGCACGGTCGTGGTTAATAAACTTAAGAGGGATTAATTTTGTTGGTTAAACCGAAACCGCTTGTGTTGAGGTTATCAATCTCAATTGATTTCATCAAGGAGTTAGAAAGATTAAATGCTACTATTAAATCGGTATAAGACGTTGTTCTATATTTGATTAATAGTAAGGGTTATTAATGAACGGTTGTTGTTAATAACTACACTCGATGAAGTGGATGTACTCCCCGATTGAGTATTCGAGAGGGAATAAGTTATAGATATAACAATGATCGACTAAAATATATCAACAAGTGGAAAGTAGCAATGCCAAGTCCTTTTTATCTTTGAATTAAACACATATAGGTTGTTCATCTTAGTTCTTAATTAAATCAAAATCACTCGAAACAAAACCCCTCTTTTAATGACTAGTTTCATTGAAAGAAAATCATTCTTTTCCCTGTGGATACGAACTCTACTACGCTATACTACGTATAAGTGTTTAGTATTGAATTTATTTTGACGCACCGTGACAAAGTGCTCGTCACCAACCTTATTTAAAAGCCACTTTCCAGTCCTAGATCAGACCAGATTTAAACAGACTAGACAAGACTTAAACAGATTAGACCAGACCATGTCAGACTTAAACAGACTAGATCAGACTTCGGTAGTTATAAAATACATAGAGACCAGACATTAACCAGATCAGACCAGACTTAAACAGACAAGATCAAACCAAACTTAAACAGACCAGATTAGTAAATTATTGTTCAAGTAAAAACTTCCTTAGAGCTCAAAAATCACTTCATTTCTAGAATCAAGTCAAGCAAGCACTACAGTCTAAATGTTAATACGAACTCAAACCCATACCACTGTACCAGTATACCACCTTTAACGGTTCCACGTAGGGATCTAAACCGACCTAGTTTCTTCAGACTTAGATTTTCTAAGTGAGAGCATCGGTGGCAGTTTTGTAATTTTCATGAAAATCACGGGTTCTCTTAAATGAGCATTAATGTAATTTGAATGAGCATCAAGTCTTTTCTTTTTTAGTATTAGGAGCCTAATAATGAGCACTAGTGATCTTTGTTTCATATCTTCTAATTCAGTTTGTTTTTATTATTTTTTCGTTTATATAAAATTATTAAATGATGTTAATAATCAATTTCAATTAATTTCAATATGTGAATCTAATGTAGTATGATATGTTTGATATGAGCAACATTTTAAATTGAGCATAAAGCAGTACCAAATGAGCATACATAATCTGCAAAATGAGTATAAAAAAAATCAAAAGCTCATTTGTGTATGCTTATTGATTTTGAGCGTTATACTCATTTGAGTTTATAATAAACTCATTTTTAATGTGCTTAATATTCAGTTATGTATGCTCATTTCTTTTATGCGTATACTCATTTGAATTTAATATAAAACTCATTTTTAACATGCTTAATATTCAGTTGTGTATGTTCATTTCTTTTATGTGTATACTCATTTGAGTTTAATATAAAACTCATTTGAGATCAATAATAATAAGGATTACTTTGTCTTCAGTAGGCTCTCTTTCTCTTCCAAAATTACAATCTGAAAAAGAAAAACTGGATAAAAAAAGAGAAAAAGGAAAGGAGAGAAAACACAGACAGATGGAGGAGAAGTAATTGCGCAGAGGGATCTGCTACATCCGTGCTAGAGGAGAAGGGGATGAGCGGTGAGAAGCGGCGACGAGCAACAAGCTGGAAGAGAAAGAAAAAGTGGTGAGCGTAGGCGACAATCAACCAGGGCAGATCGAAGAACCCAGCGAGATCGGAGATGATGAGAAGCTTGGTGCGAAGTTGGATCTTCTTCTTCTGGTGCGAAGCAAAGAAACGCAGAGCTAAAAAGACCGGTTGTACCGTGCGCACGGTACAGCCGGTTGTACGGTATATTTTACCACTTTTGACATTAAAAAAAACTTGCCACATCAGGAAGTCTTTGAGTTTTTTGCTCTCCAATGAGTTCTTTCGTTGATCAACATTGTGTTGATTTGTACTCCCTCTGTCCCACTATAATTATCCCATTTTTTCATTTTTTGATATCTCTTTATTATTGTTCCATACCATATTTGGTAACATTTGTGTGACTCTAATTCATTCTTACTTTATTCCGACTTTATCAACGCATTATCAACCACATAGTTCTACTTTTCTTAAAAACCACATCAATCCCTTCTGTTCCAATATTAGGGGGTGGAGGGAGTAATAAATAACTGTACCAACTAAACCCATTTCTCGAATGGGAAAGCCAGTCACACTAGCCGAGTCAACAAACTAAGACTCTTCGTGGGTAAAACATGGGTAGTTCTTATACTTTGCAGAATTGCAGTTGAGTACTTTTTATTTGCAATTACTTTCATTGATTTCAATTAAATAATTGGCACACGTATACGAAACAAACCATTGTCGACAGTATGCCATGTTTAATTTCTCATGTTTTCCATTGCATCCTATGTGGTAAAACATTCCATACTTTTGGTGCCATGTGTCACAAGTTAGAGCATCTCCAATGCTCTTCTTTGGAGTGAAGGTAAATTTTGACAAATGTCAATTAATTAAAGCAATGTTTGTCCACATAAGATTCACATTAAAAGAAATTAATAAGAGATGTCCAATGCATGGTGTTAAACCTATTAAAATTACCGTAACTACTTTCGGTAAACCTATATAACTAAACACATAAACCAAATCATGGGCAGCCATATAAAATCAGCCATCACTCCACGACACAAAAAATCAATTGCAGGAGCAGATTTGATATCAAATTTGCCATCGTTTGGTATATAATTCCTTCTACATATTTGATTTTTATTTCTTCTACCATAAACCCGATACCTTTGGATAAGAACACCTTGGGGAAATTGACATAGAGACTTGAGTTTGTGGGTGAGGCGGCTAATAATATATACTCCTGTGTGAATAGTGAGATTACATAGGACTAGGTTTGGGCGGGTGGAAATTGCCGTCAATTTTTTCAGAGATGGAGCGTTTTTTTTTCTCGGATTTGTGCGTAAATGGCTCTCACAGCGTGAAACGTGCTTTCAGAAAACCAACAGAGAGGTTGAAAGCGTTGGATACAGGTCAGATTAAAAGGAACCGTAAAAGAGTGGGTTGGAGATAAAAAAAACCACCAAACTTTTACTTTTTAAATTGATGATGTGGCAAAAAATTTTAATGTCAAAAGAGCTCCATTGGAGATGCTCTTAGCATTCAAGATGCTCCTAACAAATAGAGCTTTGAACTCAAATACAAGCTGGATTTCAAGTTTGAATACTTCTTCAAACCGAGCTTGAGCATAGTAATGTTTGATACATCTTGAGCAGAGCCAATTAAACACCTATAAATTATAAAGAGAAATTCAATGCATGTTAGAATTTAAAAACTTTTTAGTGTGCTTTTATAAATTTAAACATGCTTATTTACAGAATACAGATGAAACCTATAAAATAACATACGCTAATTTCTACATTCTAACATACTTGTTGAGTTCTCCAATCAAAAAACATCTATCAAGTTGTACACTTGTACCCAGCCTCATGTGAAAATCTTGTCGATCTTCGATGTTAGGATTCAACTCAGTTCATTCATCATCATCATTACCTACCCCTGTACTAGAGACTGTTTCAGGATTCAGCTTAGTTCATTAAAAGCCCTAATTTCAAAGTATGGTTTTCCAAAACTCAGAGCAATAATTTGGCACTCACTTTACCAAACGGATCTTTGCGACACATGATAACGTGGAAAGTCAAAAGCACTTGTCTACTGCGCACATGTAATAAAATGAATCTAACCACATTTCAAATTCTGTAAGGTGAAAATATTCCATCCTCATGCTTCAGCATTCAGGATACATAAGTTCAAAATTAGAAATATAGGAAGGACTGGTTTGGACAACACTCAGTTCTTGGCCTTAAGAGAATTGTTTTCCTTGATTCTTGCTCGGTTATCCAGCTTGACAAAGCGTTTGAGTTCGTCGTAGGGAAGCATTTCCAAGTCTTTCCTTCTTAGCTCACTAAGTGCTGGTTTTTTATCTAGCAAGTGCCACAGCCATTCAGGGTACTCGGCATCAGGCAACACTTTGGGGTCTGTTCCGTCCTTGAGTATATTAGCACCAACAACTGTACTTGCTTTGACTTCTTTGCTCAGGGAAGACACCTTGGGACCATCAGCAGCCCCACCCCCTTTAGAGCCCTTCTTCGCTTTACCTCCCACAGCAAATGTTCTGCAGGCAACTACTCTAGCTATCTCCTTGGGGAAGGTCACACTTTTCAATGATCTCATATAATTCATTGCCATTTCTTTCAACACTGCTTCTCTAGATAATAATACCAATAAGATGAAACAATCTGTCAAAAACTACATATACAACTGACAGAACTCATTCACCACAATAACAATCACTTGAATTATGTAACAATCAAAATCAGTAAGGCTATAAGTATTTTTCTGAATATAAGCAGAATAGGACAATTTTGAGTTTTTTTAAATTATTTTTTCTTTTTTTTATTAATAAAATATGCAGTATATTTTAAATAGTCATTTTATACTTCAGAAAATTAAGGCACTCCAACATATTGAGCATATTCACCGAATTTTAGTGTTACCAACAGGCTATCATTGTGATATCAAATAAAGTAATGAAAAGAAGCACTTGAAAAAAAAAATTGTGAACTGTTCACTTTCCAGCAATCATTCTCTAAAGGCTAAAATGAATTAAGTTGAAATGAATTAGCCAATGGTTGGAGAAAAGTAAATTTTCCGAATATCTGAAGCAATTTACTGATACTATTAATGAAATGAAAATGATTTTATTAAGTTGAAAATCATCAATGTGATAGTTATACAAGGTTAAAAACACTTTCTCAGTCCAAGAGCATCAAATATTCAAATTGATGCTTCTTAGTAAAGTATTTATGAGAATATGTGCTTTTTATAAGTCATTACAGACAAATAAATCATTTCCAACTGTTTCATGCTGATCAAAAGGGCTAAACGTTAATTGTTGATCACAAAGCCAATAAAATAAAAAAAGCACAAAAAAAACCAATTAAATCAACAATATATGGAATCTGCATATAATTTAGGTATATGAAGGACGGATGGGCAAAACCTCTGGAGGAATCACGAGTCGGACACACCTAGTACACTTCACGCGGCCTAGGATGAAGCTAAACATGTCAAAGGCCTCAACTACGGCCGGGAATCGCAGAGGCTTCGGAAGCGTTAGAAGAAGGTGTGGAATCTCTTTATCTACCGGCAACGCCAAGACGTTGATCAATGAGAGTTGGCAGGTCAGATGCACAGCAGAAAAATAAAGATGGTGGTGGATGGCGGTAATGCCGTGGGTGAGAGTAGGCCTAGGTCAGTTTTGGATTCGGATCAGTCTGATACTCTCACGTGTATAAATTTAAGACAAAATTTACTAAATAGGACTACAACATGAACAAATTTCATAAATTTTCATTGAATTGAAAAAGAGAAATGCAGAGACAATACATTCCCAGAGGCAAAGAGAATGCAGAGAGGAGCATAGCACAACTATTGTTGCTGCTAAAATAAGAACGAGCATTCCTCCTTTACCTTTACTTGTCCTATAATTTGGTTCCTTTTCACCCTAGCTTAGAACAAATGTCAATTGTGTACATGAGGAAGGTGATAAACTAAATTCAAAGAAACGATTATTAATTTATCATAAACCAATTTGTAAATTAGCCTAATAAATTAAATAAATAATTAATTCAAGAATTCTTACCTGTTAAATTAGCTGGTGGCCTGGAGGCTGGAGCGTTTCACGCAGGTCAACTCACAAGAATCGATTTTTGCCCTTTTCGGTGTATTTGAGATCCAAAGTCTGTCTAGCCGCCCTGGGAGGCTGCAAGGTGCAGTTATTCTGTGAGAAATGCACGAGAAGTCAAGAAATCAGAAGACCAGAACCCCAAGACCTTCAATAATCAAACCCTCTGTCGTTTGTCTCTCTTTTGCCCACTTTGAGATTTGGGAATGAATTTTACTTCTTATGTCTATAAAATTTTAAATGTTGGATTCAAATCTTCGGGTTTGGCCGATCTGGTTAACTAGTGTGATATGATCGGGTAAATGTCTGATCTATTTATATTCGATCTGATCTGGTCTGATCTTTATCTGTAAAGACGAATGGTCGATATAGGAAATAATTAATAAACATGGAGTAAAAAAAGTAGAAAAGTATTTCTACACTCTTTTTGTAGACATCGGTATATACATGGATGAATAGATTATTATTTCATTTGTAAATAATAAGGGATAAAGGTCAAATAGTATCTCAAACTTGAGAAAAAAATGTCAAATAAGGTCATATTTAGGATACTCTTTCCGGCCGACCCTATTTGGGGCGGTTCCCGGTAGAATTTTTTGATTAAATTTTTGGAGTATCTTGTTCATTAAGTCTAGTTTACTCATATCAAATTTGAATTAAAACTTCAATCGGGAAGGCATTCAAATGAATTCTTGAAGATAACTGCTCTTTTCAAAAAATGAATAAGATTTTCAAAAAAAGATCATCAAAAAAATCCACCGGGAATCGCCCCAAATGGCGTCGGCCGGACATAGCATCCTAAATATGATCTTATTTGACATTTTTTCCCAAGTTCGAGATCCTATCTGACCCTTATCCCTAAATAGTATGTTTATGACAACAATAAAAATAGCGTATCCACAAGAATGTGTTTACAAGAAGAAATGTTGTCTTACTATATCTTTCTTTAACTATTCAACCCATTAAAATAATCATCATTTTTACGAAATGCCTACTTAGCGTGTACCTGGTCCCGCTTAAGTCCGCTCCCACCCTGTCTGGTTCCGGTCCGGTCGACGATCCGACAACCCCTGTATAGGGCGCTGGACCAGTCAACAACCCACCGATCCCTGTTTCGATTCGGTCTCCTTTTTTAATTATTTTTCAAAGTAAAGAATTTCAAAAGAGCTCTTGAGTTGCCAACCAACAGGGTAAGAAAAAAAAAGAATTAGTAAATGTGAAACTTTTAGAAGAGGAAAGAGATGAAGAAAACGAAAGAACTAAATTTATTGAGAGTCTCAAATGTATTTATACAATAGCTAGTCAACATTCTCTTGTATTGGTCAATGCTAGCAACTAACTGATCGTTGTGACTAACAGTATGGCTAACTGAATGACTAACTATATGTACACTATCAATATACAATTTTATTCAATTATCTTCCCATCCCCTCCTCAAGTTGGACTTTGGTTGGTGTAACAAGTCCTAACTTGGAAATAAACGATTGATGATGTTTTGCTCCTAGTGCCTTTGTAAAGATATCTGCAGGTTGTGAACCGGATGATATGTATCTAGGTTCCAAAAGACCTTGAATCTTTCTCGTACATAATGACAATCAATCCGAAGATGTTTCGTTTTGTCATGAAATACAGGATTCTGGACTATATGTTGAGCTGCCATATTGTCACAATATAACAGAATGGCCTTTGGAATCTCATGTTGCAATTCCATAAACAATCCATCAAGTCAAACAATCTCAGTTGCAGTATAGCTCATGCTTCTATATTCTGATTCTGCAGTTGATTTACTTACTGTCTTTTGTTTCTTTGTCTTCCAGGAAATGAGTTATTTCCCCAAGAAAATACAATAGCCGGACAAGGACCTTCCTGTCATGAAACATGATCCCCAATCAGCATCACAAAAGGCAGACAACTCAAGTGATGATTGAGTTGGATAAAAGAGACCAAGGTTGATGGTGTTTTTAAGATATCGTGCAAGGAATAATGCTGCTTGCATGTGGCTGATCCTTGGCTCACTCATAAATTGACTCAGTTGTTGTATAGTGTAAGAAATGTCTGGTCTTGTTAAATTGAGATATAAAAATCCTTCAATTAATCTTCTATACTGCTCAGGTTCCTGAAGTTTTTCACTTTTGTCAGCAGATAATCTTAGTCTAGTAGGCATAGGGAATTGTGCAGGTTTACAATCAATCATTTTGATATCATGTAATATATCTGGAATGTATTTTTTCTGATCGAGAATAATGCCTTGGTTATTTCTTGCTACCTCTATTCCCAAGAAATAACAAAGTGAACCAAGAGCCTCGATGGTAAATGCTTGATCTAATGCCTCCTTTGTCTGTTCAATGCTTTCTTTTGAGTTTCCGATGATCAAAAAATCATCCACATATGCGAGTAATGCTGTGAATGTTTCTGATTCTACTTAATAAACAATGAATAATCTTGTTTTGACTGTTGAAAACCCAATTTGAGCAGAAATTTTGTAAGCTCAAGATTCCATTGTCTTGATGCTTGTTTTAGACCATACAAAGATCTTTTGAGTTTACAAACTTGTCCTATTTGTGCATTGGGGTATCCATCAGGAACTTGCATGTATACTTCTTCATCAATGAATCCATGCAAAAATGCATTGTTTATGTCCAGTTGTTGTATCATCCATCCCTTGGCTGCAACTAAAGCAATCAGTGCTCTAACTGTAGTGAATTTTGCTACCGGACTGAAGGTATGTTTAAAATCCTTCCCTTTGATTTGATTGTAGCCTTTAGCTACTAATCTGGCTTTAAAACGTTCAACTGTTCCATCTGGTCTGAACTTGATTTATATACCCATTTAGCTCCAATAGCCTTTTTTCCTTCTGGTAATGAAGTTAATTCCCAAGTCTGATTTCTTTCAAGTGCCTCAAGTTCTTGCTTCATTGCTTTGACCCATCTTTCATCTTGCTTGGCTTGTGCATAAGAAACATGTTCATGGATTGAGAGTACATTAGCTAGTGAAGCTACATATTCTGGTGTGAAGTTTTGCAAAGAGGAGCAGACCATGTTTGCAAGGTATGGGTCATTATCCATTCTTGTTGTTGTAGAAGAAATCAATGACTTTGGTATGTCTTTGCAGACATAATCTTGTAATCTGTGAGGCATAGTTCTGGATCTTGTAGATTTTCTTTGTGATATGGATACCTCTGCATCATCAAATTCAGGTATTTCAGAATTGTCATTTTGATGCTCTTCTTGGAAAGAATTATTCTGATGTACTGGGGAAGTATTCTAAGAATTATGAAGAGATGTATCCATGAGTAATCCAAAAGGATTAATGGTGAAGGTATCAGGTGTGTCTTCATTTTGTTTTTCCTTGAAAGGAAAAACATCTTCCTTAAAAATGACATCTCTGCTCACCAATATTTTTTTATATTCAAAATCATAGATTTTGTATCCTTTTGGCCAAAAGGATAACCAATCATGATGCCTTTAAAAGCTCTTGGAGAAAGTTTGTTTGTATCCTTTATAGCAGCAAAACAAAGGCATCCAAACACCTTTAATTTTTCATAATCTAGTTTCCTTTTGAACATCACTTCATAAGGAGTTTTCCACTTAAGGACTGATCATGAAGGCATTAGATTAATCAAATGTGTAGCAGTGAGTAAGCATTCTCCCCAGAATTTTTTTGACAAGTTTGCTTGAATCCTTAAAGCTCTTGCAGTTTCTAAGAGATGTGTGTGTTTCCTCTCAACTCTTCCATTTTGTTTTGGATTTCCAGGAATACTCCTTTGATGAATTATCCCTTTTTCATCAAACAACTTTGTGCAGTTTGATTGAACTATTTCAGTCCCATTATCAGACCTAATTATTTTGATTATTTTCTCAAATTGTGTTTCCACATAAGCAATGAAGTTATGAATAATGTTGGAAACTTCAGTTTTGTCTTTTATTAGATAGGTCCAGGTAGTCCTACTATTGTCATCAAGTACGGTTAGGAAGTAAGATGCTACAGTCATTGATTTCAGTTTGTATGATCCCCACAAATCAACATGAATCATTTCAAAAACTTCAGAAGCAATTGAATCACTCCTTTCAAAAGGTGGTTTGTGATGTTTTGCCATAATACAAACTTCACAAAACAAAATGTCTTCATTATTTCCAAACCCAACATGTTGTAATTTTGACAAAGAAGAATGACCAAGTCTATTGTGTATCAATAGTAAAGTATTTAAAACTTTACATGACTTATTTACTAAACAAAACAACTCCTTTGTCTTATTCCTTTTGAAATCAGAACCAGATGAATCACCTTCATTGATCCCTTTATTTGCTTCAAACAGGTAAAGACCATTCTTCTTCCTTCCCAGAGCCATCTTCTTGTCAGTTAAAGGGTCCTGTACATAGCATCCATGATTATTGAAATTCACTACCATTTTAGTGTCTTTCAATAATTTCCCTACTCACAACAAGTTATGTTGAAAACCAGGTACATACATCACTTGTTTGAGTCTGATTTCTTGAGAAAGTTTAACATCACCAATCAATGATATCTTCTTCACATTACCATCCGGAAGAATAATTTTGCTGGGTTCAGGCAGGTATGTTTTATTTTCCAATATTCTCAGGTCATGTGTCATATGATCTGGTTCTCCAGTATCTATTATCCAAATGTGTGATTCATGTTTTCTTGCTTCTAAATCAACACAAGAGACATAAGTCATACCTGCCAGGTTGATAGTATTTGAGGATAATGTGGTGAAATCATTTGGATTGCTGCTTTGATTGGAATAATCCTTTGATTTATGAGCAAAATATGCTTGAATGATTTGAGGATCTATTTGATTCAGCATCTTGAAGTGTCTCCCTTCATCCAAATCAAAAGGTGTTTCATTCTCTTCACCTTTATAATCACCACTTCCAACAAACCTTTTCATGTTATTATTATTTCCTGATTTTTGTGCAGTATTCTTCCCTTTATTTCCTTTATACCAGTCAGGATATCCTTTTATTTCAAAACAATCTTTCACGATGTGTTCCATCTTATTGCAATGAGTACAAAACCAAAGACTATTTTTCCAGTTTTATCCTTTGGTATTCTGCTTTGGATAAAGGTTTGTTCTCTTCCTTCTTGTTCGGAATATCAGAAATTCTGCTGTATTTGTTTGCTGCCATAGCCATTCCTTCTGAAATATCTACATAGCTTCCAGTTATTGATTTTTGCATCTCAATTTGTTGGATTCTAAAGAATGCTTGATTCACAGTAGGAAGAGGATCAATTCCAAGTACTTGATTTCTAATA